GGGTGTGGGTGTGGGCGTGGGTTCCTCTGTGTCCTGTGCGTTGCGTGAGAGAGAGAGAGAGAGAGAGAGAGAGAGAGAGAGAGAGAAGGACAAAAGAAGGTGGGAGCCGAGAAAGGATAAAGCTAGCCCGAGAAAATGCACCTGGGCGCTACAGTCTGGGCCCTTTTGGGTGCATATCATGCACTAAATCTTGTGCATCTTCGTGCTCAGGTGCATTCTGGCAGGGCTAATTTTTGCATTTGGCAAGACAAGCTGGTCGTTTATATAAGGGTCCGCTCCCACCACTACACTACTAATGTAGTTGCGAAAACCCTGGCGCGGCAAAAAAGAGAAATTAGATCCCACAGAGCCGATTTCTTTGGTGGTCTTCCTGGACCCGCGGAGACTCTTTATGGGCACCAGTTCAGGGCCGACGTTTTCATGGTGCAGGTTGCCCCTCGCTGACGGACCTCGGACATTCCAACCTCTACAAATGGACAAGGGAAAAAAAAAAAAAAAAAAAAAAAAAAAGGTTCTCTCTTTTTCGTTGCAGTGATGCCCTCTCCGTCTCTACATGAAAGTTGTGGTATTTCCCTTTGCGCCCTCGCGGACGTTGCTGCCACGACACATACACTTTTCTTTTATTATTATTAATTTATTTATTTATTTATTTATTTATTTTTTCACAAAACGGCCCCGCCAGTATTAGTGGTGCTGATAAAAGCAGACACCACTAGCACCTAGGGAGAGGCTCCATCTATTGGTGGGGAGCAGCACCTGCTGGAAAACGGGTCCAGCGTCCCATATACAAAATGGATTTGGAATGTAACAAACAGGATTGTGTAAGGTTCCTGCCAGCATTGATTACCCTGGGGTCCAGGGGATTGACTGAGCAGGCAATTGGAGAGAGCGGGAACCTCTTCGCCCTGAAACCGGCGCCAGATCCCTGCTGCTACACACCAGTTCCTCCCTCCCCCTACCAATGAATGCTTTGAGTCATATCAGAAGACAATCAGAAACAATGTGGGAGGTTCCTGCCAGCATTGATTACCCTGGGCACCAGGGGATTGACTGAGCAGGATAGAGGAAAGAGGGGGGAATCTCTTCACCTTGAACCCGGCGCCAAAGTTCCTGCTGCTACATGCTAATTCCTCCCTCTCCCTACCAGCCCCAGTCCCAACTCTCAACCCCCCCCCCCCCGCCCCTTTTTTTAAGCAGGGAATCCTTTTTTGTGACGAGGAAAGATGAGAAAACCATGATCATGCGAAAATCCATGGGGACACCCATCTGCTGGAAACCGGGTCCAGCGTCCCATTGACGAAGCTCCTATCGTCTTCTATAGTGCCCATGGACAAGCATTTATAGCCAACTGCCAGAAAATAAAACCCTAGTTCTGTAGTCCATCTATCACTCTGTTCCAACCTCCTGTCTGCCTCTTCAGCCCTCCTTGGGCGCCAGATAGTACTGCTATACCTAGCAGACTTTCTCTTTAAGTACCAGCAGAATTCAGTGGGCCGGGCCTTCCTTAAACCCTGAACCCTAAGACCTTCTCTTCCTTTATCCCGTGCCTGCTGTCTGTTTAAGTTCCATTCTCGTGTCTAATTCTCTGTCCTCCCCTCTTCCACACTATCCTCCATACCACCCCGATTCTACCCTGCTGTTGGAGGGAGGAGGGAAGGGGTCTGGGAAGTCATTCATCGTTCTCATTGGAGTTGTGGCGTCCACCTTGGTCCACTCATGGAAGATCAACCGATAGTCCTTGCTTTGCCCTTTCCCCTCGTGAATTCCCCCCTGATCCCCATTTTTTCCTGTCCGTTCCACCCTCCCCATCTTTCCCCCATTTTCCCCCCCAAGCCAGTTTGCACTGGATTTTTTTATTTATTTCCTGTTGTGTGTGTAAGTGACAGATCTGTGCTTTACATCTTCCCAGTGTATTGTTATCCCGGTTTTGATTTGCTGCTGTATGGTTTCTATGAATTCCGGCCCTTCCATCCTCGCTCCTTCCATCTGATATGTGCAGCGGCGCCTCCAAAGTGCCCATATCACTGCCCTGCGTCCCAGCAAACATAAAAAACGCGGGCAAAATAAATATTTCGGCATCCGTGCCGACCTTGGAAATCTGTGGGATCTCAAAACTCCAGGGGGAGCTGGGCTGTAGTGTAGTGGTGGGATCAGAAAAAAAAAAAAAAGAACAGGGATGTAGATTAGGTTCCGTCGCATCGGAGAAAAATAAAAATAAAAAAATAAAATAAAAAATCATTTTGCCTACAAAAAATATTCATGTCAAACCAAGAGCAACATTCTGAGTACGCGACGGTGGCTGGGAAGGGGGAGAGGACGAACCGGTTAGCGGCGCCGTAGCGCTCAACACCTGCGATGCGTGCGCTTGCATGTCTAGGGTTTCACAATCGCGCTCAACACCTGCGATGCGTGCGCTTGCATGTCTAGGGTTTCACAATCGCGGAGCTTGCCCGCCATACCCCGGAGCGCGTAGCACGGGGGAGGCGGCTCCCTTAGCGGTCGACTCATCAGTAGTGGAGCATAGGGGAGATGGAATTGGCCTTGGGGTAGGGAGGAAAGGAGGAGAAGTTGGGAGCGTGGAGTTCGGTATTGCCAGCTGGTTAACGATAGTCAGAATATTTCGAACACTTGGAGCTGAAGAATGCTGGTGAGCAGCGTCCTTACCATGGAGTATGCCGTAACAACAAGTGCACAAGGATCCTGTGCTTATACAGGTTTATTCAGGATATGTGTAACCGATACCGGCGCCCCAGTGCTGTCGTGCGGAGCATAGTGTACGGAGATAATGGCCCAGCCTAATGATCCGAAGGGAGAGAGAGTTACAAATGTAGCGGCTGTTCACGTAGCAAGGGACTACTTCACCGGTACGGAGTAGATGGTGAGAAAAGGAGATGAGCCGATGAACGCTATCGAGCCATTGGTATAAGGCAGACAACCGGATTTGGAAGAAGCCGGGTGAACGAGTAATCGCTGGCTACGCTCAAGCATTCCAAGTAGGGGAATCAAAGGGGGAAAAGGAACTAGAAGCTTTGGACGCAAGGAAGCTGCCGAAACCCTCCCGTGTGGGAAGGAGAGACGCGAAGCACTATTCAGACAAGTGAGAGAGTGGGAGCGGGTTTTCAGATGGAGAGTGGAAGTCTGCCATTTGATATTATAGTATAGGCAGCACTATGTAGTGGGTTTCTTGTGTAGTGTTCAGACAACTGAGTTGGACAAGGGCAGTGTGTTGGACGACCCCTGAGGAGAGGGGATTAAGTGGAGACGGCCCGCCCGCGGGTGTAAGCTAGCAGGGAGTTTCGATGCTTTGGACGCAAAAACCTCGACATTCCTCGCGAGGCTAGGTGCCTCCTCCATTGAACCTAGAAGCGGCAGCTGCAAGAACGAACGTGAGAGTCGGCCACAACAAGGAACATTCGTCAGGAACCATTCCTCAGAACACCAGGGAGCTCTTGCAGCTTAAGGATATCTTGACGAAACAGCGGCGGGATTGTGATGGAGTTGAACGTGCGGTGCTTGAGCTGTGCGTGTGAACTAGGATGGGTCTGTGTGATAGGGCAGTGCCATCAGCCTCAAAAAGGGGATGGTAAGGTATTCAGAGCGAATGATGTGGATCTGAGGAACAGATGGGATAATACTCACAGTTCAGGGGGATACAATCACGATAATGAGGATGATGATGATATTAATGATGATGTGAATGATGATGATGACGATAATAGTGATAGGACTCTTTGGAATCAGAAGATCGGGGATGGTGATAATGATGGTGATAACGATCCATTGGAATCATCTCAGAACCGTGAATCAGATGGTGATGATGGTGATGATGATGATTATGATGATGATGATGATGACGATGATGACGATGATGACAATGACGATGACGGTGACGATGATAATGATGATGATGATGATGATGATGATGATGATGGTGATGATGATGATGATAATGATGATGATGATGATGAAGAGGACACTGGTGACATGAATTGTTGGAATCAGAAGACTGGGGATGAGGAAAGGGATCTGGGCGGTGCAGTCTACTGGGATAAGAGGAGGAGCGAAGACAAGAGAGTGGATTTCAAAGATTCCGACGACATGAACGGAAGTGAGCAGAAGGAGGGAGAGGACGACAGTGTTGAAAAAGCTCGTAATCGGCAGGGGAGGAGACGGGATTGGAGAGTTCCTTGGTGCTGAGAGAGAATGTTGTGTGTGTGTGTGTGTGTGTGTGTGTGTGTGTGTGTGTGTGTGTGTGTGTGTGTGAGAGAGAGAGAGAGAGAGAGAGAGAG